CAGCAGTAGACCTAACCTTCGTTTTTCCACCGACGGGTCCCTTTTTAGGACTGAAGTCTTCATTAGCTGGATTTGCACACAGCTGCGTGCTATTCAGCCAATCTTGTGGTGATCTTGCCAAGCATGCCATTGGTCTAACACATCTGTTGTCTATAACACACCAGCCACATTCATACTTTTCAGCATTCGGCGTAAGAATCGGCCACAGTTCGATGCAAGAGCTTCGCACTTATAAACCTGGAAAAACCACAAATCAGACACCTATCACTAAAAAAATTCCGACTAACCTCCACGGCCACTCCACCAATGTTATCCAGAGTGTGTTTTCTGGAAGAATCGCTCGAGGACCACACAACGTTGAACTCGACCGGAGCTGTTCCTCCCGATAACCAAGCCCTAGTGATCGGCATCTCATCACATCTGGCACAAACAGAATTGGATGCAAATCAAAACAGCTGCAATTTTCAGTAAATCGTTTTGCAGTCAATTTGAAATAAATTTTTCGTCTTGTCTTCAATCTTCTGTTTTCTATCTACAAACGCTAGGGGTGAGAGGGAGGGGGTAGAGTACGAGGGTGAGGGTCGCGCTGAAGTCCTACCCGGGGGGGGGGGGTCGTATTCGGTTAATTTGGGTGGGGTTTAGAGACATAATTGGGGTTTGGAGCTTATTTAGGGTTAGTTACAGTATGCCGCGGCAGACTTGCGGAGCACAAAATGGGGGGAGGGGGCTCCGGCGCACGAGTGGCAGACCCCCCGCTGAGGAAACCCCGCGGCCCTGCCATTTCTGCGCCGGAGGAATCCGATCGACTGTCTGACAGAAAATACCATAGAAACATTGGTCACACTTCGGTAGAATACTATTCATATCGCCGCTATTCCGCACTTCTACATCGAAACAGTTTATTGCGTTTTCCGTTCCAGTACTTTTCATAAAACGAAGAAGGAGGAGTCAATGTGTAAGTTCAACATCTGCTAAAAACTCCGTTTCGCCCCTCCTTTAGACGCAGTTTTCTGAGCCCCTTTCGGGGTTCCTCAATACGGAAAAAAGGTCTAGAATATATAGAAATGGAAAAATTGCTAGATCCAGTGAAATGGAAATGTTTGGGGTTAATGAAAGGTTTGCAAAAGCTAAGAGCTGCAGTAGCGTACCTGATGACGTCGTGCAGGCCGGAGGTAGTATACGCAGCTCCCGCATAACCCATAAACTTGAAAGCAGTGGCTCGGCAAATCTCAACATAGTAAAATTTTCGCTCACCTGGGGTTATTTCTATACGCTGATCATGAAAATCCACATTTGAGAGCTTGAAAACGGCGAGAATGAGCGTTTTTCAATGGCCTTCCCTTTAGAATTGGACGAGTGGAGCAAGGCTGATGACGCTGCATCGCTAAGGGACCCAATGGTTATAGCATTGCGGCGGGCAGCCTCCAATGGTGAGGAGGAAATTGCCAACTCGTCCGGACGCGTGTAAGATTGGCCTGCGCGCGTAAGTTTGAGAACAATATTCTCCGCAGGGAAGGCATGCTGTGCAACAGGGATTGACTGTTTTCATACTTGGGTTAGAAGGAACCTGCCGCGTTGAAATGCTGACATGTTGAGTCTTGCCGATTCACTGCCTTTAAATATCAGTACGGCCGTATTTCTCCATCCGGCAGAAAAGTTGCTAGCCGATGGTAAGGAGAAAGTTGTTCAGGACTTTCCCACAATCCTTTGACAGCCATGTAACCCTTCTATATCATGTCAAATAGAATCTTTGCATTATGGGTTCCTTCTTTCGAGATTCGCCTTGATATCATGTCGACGAAGATTCGTACATCACTCAGCCCCGAAATCTGCAGGGCCTGAAGAGACCCTAGGCAGTTCTCAACAAGGCTTTTACGAGGCTCTTTATGCGGTGTAGAAAGGCAAGGTTCCAGGATGGTTGGAAAACCAGGAAAACCGTGTTGGTGTATGGAAAAAGACCCGTGATTTTGGCAACCATCGCCTTATCTGCTTACTGTCTGTGGTGTACAGACTCTTCCGAAGTCATTTTCAAGAGATTCTAGTGAAAAGCAGACGGAGGATCGTGCAAGAAAACTAAGTTTCAGAAATGATTCACTGCCATAGACCACATACACATGGTGGCACAAATGAAAACCTGTTGTATGCCTGTTGTATGTAAAATTTGGTGTCATATTGCCTGTGTTTGATTTTAAAAAAATGGTCACCTCTCAGTACCAAGAAAATTAATTTCTGAAGTTCGTTTAAGCAAATTTAACAACCGTGTAATAGCTTGTTCGTCATGTGGATGATTCATAGGATCGCGACGGGATTTGACTGTGGTCTTAGCGTCCACAGGAGAATAGACAAAACGAAAAAAATTACCTTAATGTTAGCTCAGTCACTAGTATGTAAATGCTATCATGTGTATACATCAGTGGGGTGCCAAGGGGGGGGGGTCCCTCCCTCTCCCTGAGCATAGGTCGCGTAATTTTTGAAGGTTACTTCAATGCATTATTAGGTTGTCCGGAAATTAATGTCCGTTTTGAATTTCAAAAGCAAGAAGTCATACACTTTTCATTCCTGGATAGCTTTAAAGGTACCGTTCGATAGAGCAAAACAAGCTCTACAAGATGGCAGTCCTGCTTTTGCAACAGCTCTGATCCACCTCGAGTTTCGAGCCAAAAACTAAAAAGATTCAACTACCCGAAAATCGAGAAAAATCATAACTCAGTTCATAAGAATCCTGCAAAAATTCTAACTTGCTCACGTAAACACTATCCACATAAGACATATATGTACGCTATTGCCGTATTTTTTCCTCTGCTAGAAATCGAAAAAACGAAAATGTTCATGCTTTTGCCAAAGTGATGCTGTGCCGTCCCCACATAAGTAGATGTGTACTACAAATCTGTAGAAGTACAAACGTAAATTTTCAGCTCTCTACAACCTTTAGTTCTCGAGAAATATCGAATATAGCTTCCATTAGTCAGGTGGTCCAAACTAAAACTCAAATTTCTCGGAAACCAAAGCTTGTAAAAAGCTGAAAATTTACGTTTGTACTTCTACGGAGTTGTAGTATACATCTACTTATGTGGGGACGGCACAGCACCACTTTTGCAAAAGTATGAAAATTTTCGTTTTTTCGATTTCTAACAAAGGAAAAAACACGGCAATAGCGCACATATATGTCTTATGTGGATAGTGTTTACGTGAGCAAGTTAGAATTTTTGTAGAATTCTTACGAACTGAATTATGATTTTTCTTGATTTTTCGGGCAGTTGAATCTTTTTAGTTTTTGGCTCGAAACTCGAGGTGGATCAGAGCTGTTGCTAAAGCAAGACTGCCATTTCTAGAGCTTGCTTTGCTCTATCGAATGGTACCTTGAAAGCTTTTCAGGAATGAAAATTGTATGACTTGTTGCGGTTGAAATTAAAAACGGACATTAATTTCCGGACAACCTAATATAAATGTACAAGTGACTTGTTTTTACTCAAACTTCGCGGTTACGGACCCGAAAATTTTGGAGAGCGTCCCAAAATTATTTTCGAAGTGTGTGCCTAACGCCACGCACCTTTATCAGAAAAAGATTTTTGTCGTCCCCCCCCTCCTCCTCCCCGAACGAAAATCCTGGGTACGCTACTGGCCATATGTGCGAAAACCATTCGAGCAGAGATGTGTCCAAGAAAACGCGAAATATGTACGCGACGCGCGGCCGCGCATCGTACGATTTTGTGCTCTCCCTACACGCATACCTCCGATAGTTTAGAGAAAGGGTCTTAAAAGTGAAGGTTTAAATATCTACCTCTTCTCAAAGAAAATCAAAGAGAAAAAGATGCAAAACATATAGCAAAAGCAGAAATCTTGAATACAGGACAAACATGCTGCAACGATTTCAAATCTTTCAATTAACCCCATTTCGAATTGCAGGGACTCGCTCCAAGACCAGGGAATCCACAACACGGGAGACAAATTACCACCACTGCGCTATAGGTTGCGCCCGCAGCCTCTCATTTCATCTCCCCCTCGCTTCTCTTCTCCCTCATTTTTCTCTATCATCATTTTGTATTCTTTAGTATCGTTCGTATCCATGTATCCCCTCATTACTCTCGATATCATCTGTTTCCATAATCTCATTATTTACGACTCTCATCTACCTCTTATATTACACCTGTCTGTCTATCCTACCTCTATATACTCAATTTTCATAAGGTTATGTTATAAGGATAAACTTTAGCAGTCATTCGTGTTTTGTAGAGAAGGGAAAAGCTAGAGTGCGTTGAAATAGTCATACGTTACTGAACAAACCCACAAAATAGCCCAAAATCATTAAAATATTACAAGAGTGGAGTAGAAGCTGGTTTCTTCTTTTACAAAAACACTATGTTTTGGAAGCGGTTATTTTCACAGAGAAGATAAGCAGGAAAAGAATTAATTATGAAAAGGCGTTTTGTTTTCACTACCTATGCATTTACATTTCTACTAGGGTCGAATGAACGCACATCCCTATTGGCGAGGGAAGGAGATCTGAGAGGGGACGTATCATATATTGCTATTCCAAATATCTGTATTCTTCTTTTTCTGCCTATGTTATAAAGCTTTTAAACCCTGATTGAGTACAATGGATGGAACAGGACAGCATGCATACAAGCTGAATGGAAAACTCGGTTTGCATGGAAATGTTCTGCCATCCATTTAATCAGATATTGGGGTACTCTTAAATGAAGTTTTGGTGATATGGCTTACCACCTTCCATTTAAACAGAAACTGCGCGACTTTACTCTCCTCAGAAAATATAGTTGAAAACGGCTGATACACGAGTCTAGGAAAGAAAAATCCCCCAAACTCCATATTTTGACGTACTTCACTCCCCAAAATCACATTCTTACTCAACTCAATTCTACTCCTGCCAAGATTTGCCTACATATCTTCGTTAAAATAGTGTCTTCCTTCGTACCGGCTAAAGGATTTAACGTGAGTTGCAGAGAAAATCGGAAGCAGAGGATAAAATGAACATTTCCGACTTGAATATTAAGATATTTATCGAAAGCATTCATAAACAAGTATGTTCAATATATAACAGTACTCTACGCATTACTCAACTAGAAACAAGAGCTATCTAACGCTCAATTAGAATTTTGACAAAAAAAGAGAACATGCAAAAAAAGAAGCACTTAATCATAATGAGGTTTATGCTGAATTCTTGATGCGCTCTTCCTGTGCGTCCATTTCGGCACGAATTTCTTTCGGGAGATCGGGACCCACCTAAAAAATTATAGCTCATTTCAGATATTGCACAAAAAGTTCAAAATTGAAACTTGCCTGTTCCTCCAAGAATTTTCTGACTTCTTTGGCATCTTCAATCCAATATTCATGAGGTACTGACATGAGTTCGTCCCAGTTAATGTCGGGAAGACCATCGGCTCTGATCGAACCCTTCTTTGGTACGACACCGATCGGAGTTTCCACGCCAATTTCGGCTTCGCCGTCCAGTCGGCGGATAATCCAGTCGATTACACGGATATTCTCACCATATCCGGGCCAGAGGAATTTGTTATTAGCGTCTCGACGGAACCAGTTCACATGGTAGATTCCAGGTACCTAAATGCAAAAATTTCCAGATTATTTCATCCAACTTTATGGGACCTACCTTTCTTCCTGGTTTGTTCAGATCAATCCAGTGCTGCAAGTAGTGGCCAAAGTTATAGCCCATGAATGGACGCATAGCCATGGGGTCGTGCATGACGGTCTTCCCTAGAATAAAAGCGTTAAGCACAATAATCTTGACCTTTAAAAAAATCCTCTCACCCTTATACTCAGCTGCAGCAGTAGCTTCGGACTTCAGGCACGCTCCAGTGAAGATACCATGATGCCACGACCTTGTTTCATATACTAGAGGTACACCAGTTGGACGACGACCACCGAAGACGATTGCCTAAATTCTCCCGTTGACTGCTTGAGCAAAAATTCGCTAATATTTGTCATACATCGATGGGGACACCCTTTGGACTTTCCCAGTCGGGATGAATGATGGGGCATTGCGAAGCGGGAGCGGCAAAACGTGAGTTCGCGTGCGCACAGACTCCTGGGTCGCCAATGTGCCATTTCTCGCCAAGCCAGTTAATCATGTCGACGTTCTGAAAAAAAAAACATTTTCTTCGAAGATTGTGGAGTTCTAGCAAACGCTTTACCTTGTCCTTAATCTCGTCCTCCAAACCTTCCCAGAAGTACTCGCCATTGGCAGTTTCACCCACATTGGTGAATATCGAATTCTTTTGGAATGTTGCTACAGCCATTGGATTGGTTTTGTTTGAAGTACCTGGAAAATACAGATAATTTTACGAATTTTTCCTTGTGTCTTGCTTACCTGGTGCTACTCCGAAGAAGCCAGCTTCAGGATTGATAGCGTAGAGTTTTCCATCATCGCCGAATTTCATCCAAGCGATATCGTCACCTGTAAAAGAAATTATTTGAAAATTGAAAAACTTGATAGCTTAGTATATTCTGGGTCCGATAAAAAATCTAAGTGAAGGGGGTCTTCACAAAATTTCTTGGGATATCTCCTAGAGTTTAGCGAGCTTATAATTCATGGAAGCGTGCCGAAATCCACGCTCCAGAAAAAAATTTACTTGATTTTAATCAACAAAAATTCTGAGAATTATTTCAAGGGTTTACAGATGAAAGCAAATCATTTTCACATACTCATAAAAGACCATGTAGACCTTTTCTGGAAAATTGGCCACAGTATAGTATATTTACCCCCACTCACCGACACATCGGACCTTCCATCCGGGAACGGTAGGCTCAAGCATAGCCAAGTTGGTCTTTCCGCAAGCTGATGGGAAAGCAGCAGCAATGAAGTGTTCCTAGAAAATTTAAATTATTTATTCAAAAAAAATGGTAATCAAGCTAATTCTTAACAGCTACAAAAACGCGGGATCTACATCCAATAGAAAAAATAGTAAAAAAGGAGAAAAAATAATGATAAAGCTTACCTTGCCATCAGGCCTTGTGACACCCATTATAAGCATATGCTCAGCCATCCATCCTTCATCTTTGGCTATGTTCGAAGCGATACGCAGGGCAAAGCATTTCTTGCCTGAAATCCAAAGATTTTGGTTTCAAAAAAAAACCAAATGTGGCTTTTTCATCCCTACCAAGCAATGAGTTTCCTCCGTAACCTGATCCAAATGACCAGATCTCTCTTTCGGCTGGTCGATGAGCAATCAGCACACGTTCAGGGTTACACGGCCAGTGATTGATAACACGCTCTGGAAACAGATTGACTAAGGTCTACGAAGAAAATGAAAGAATTTTGCTTGAAAAAAAGCGTCTTAATTTTTGATTCACCGAATTCGGAAAAAATGCTCGATCACCTAGCTCTTACCGAATCCTTTTTTTTTAATCTCAGTGGTAAAAAAACCTCCGCACGAAGGCTGAATTAACTGTGATTGACTGACAGTTTCTTATTTGTAAATATAAAATGAGACTGTTTTTTCTTAGACTGGGATACTCTTGAATGCTTCGCGTAATCTAACCAACACGTTAATACTTGTCTTTTAGGCGCTTTTCATAGCAGATTACTTAAAGATCTTGACAGAACATGTTTGTTCTTGTCAAACAACGTATGCAACAGCGTTTCAAACATCTTGGTCACTGAATGGACTATGAACGACATACGTTTTACTGGTCTCGGCAATCCTACAGAGTGAATGCAGCGTACAAAATCATTGTCGCCAAGTGCATCCCATACTTCGGGAGATACACGGGTCATGATGCGCATCGAAAGCACTACATAGTTGGAGTCAGTAAGCTGGAAATAGAAAGCTCAGTTAGGGTAAAAATTATTTTTCAAATGAACAGTCCCTACCTGAACGCCAATTTTCGACAACGGTCCTCCGACAGGACCCATAGAGAAAGGAATTACGTACATGATACGGCCTAAACAAATTTATGGGCAAAAATATAGCCGATAGCTCAATGCAACTCACCAGCCATACAGCCGGGGAATCGAGTATCGAGTTCGGAGCTGAGTTGCTCTGGAGACATCCAATGTCCCATCATTGGCTCAACACCTGGTGCAGTATGTGTAACGGTTTGATATTTGTCTGGTGTCACCATCCATGTCTTTGATTCCACCCGAGCAACATCCTAAATTGTCACGACATTATACTTCACTCCTATTCCGCAAAATCCAAGCTCACCTTAGGATCCGTGCGACAAATATAGTTATTCTCGTATGCTTTCAATGGTGAGAGCATACCACGTTCAATAAGCTTATTAATAATCTCATCTGCCTCATGTTGACTTCCATCGCAGATGTAAATACCTAAAAAGGATGCTACTTGTCTTGACAAAACGTAAAATCATCAGCAAAACTGTGAGCCCACGGCCGGGATCGAACCGACAATCTTCTGATTAGAAGTCAGACGCCTTATCCATTAGGCCACGCGGGCACACTATTGCAACGGCTATTTGCACTTACCACGCGGGCGCATCAATTCGGTTTTTTCAGCGATGAATTTCTGGACCTTTGGTGGGAGTAAGTGGAAATCACCCTGAAATAATTGCCCATAGAACATTTTCGTAAATTTTTGCAATTTTCCACCTTGTTGAAATTCTCATTGAATTTCCATTTGTGTTACTCTTTAACTTACAATAAATTTAATTTTTGAATATTAAGCAGCTTGATTCGTCTGGCTGAGCATTTTGGAATTAAACTTAATCCCATGAAAAATCTGATTTTGAAAAAAGGAAGACTTATAATCTCCACTGCGAAAAATTACACAACAAAAATAAGAGAAAACTAATCTACATATCTTCGATATGTTTCATTGGGTTATTCAACTTCAAATTCTTGACAATTTTTCTGAGGCTCAAAAGATTCCGATGTCAACATAAACAAAACAAAGGCTTTCTCGTTTTCTTTATTTGTTTCCCTTTCCATTTATACCTTTTTGGCAACATGCTCTGCATTAAAATCAAGAAAACCAGATGCGCAAACCCACACCAGCTTGGCTGGTTACTGAATGTTCTTTTATAATATTCTTAATTTCTAGAAAAAGTTTAACGCAGTTGGTAGCGCTTGAGTACCAGGTGATTGTACAATAATCTGGGAAGAAAAATCAAAAAGGAGAGCAATTGCGAAGTATTAATCAAATAGGGAAGCTTTTTTCCAGTTTTTCATGGACTTCTTTCCTCTTATGAATTTTTACTTATCACAAGATGTCAATTCTTTTGGAAATTTATGACAGCAACTGGGTCTGGAATGATATGAATCCAAATTTTCACCATTACCACATTTTTTGTGATTTGTAAGTATTGAAAAATGCGGTCCTTTTACTATTCATAGATTTCCGGGTCCAGTCCCAACTCGATTATGGACTTCCTATTTCACTGAAACGTTCTTGGTTTTGTCCAGCGCATTGTGATAGCGCATGATCCCCGTTCTTTTCGGCGATAATAATTGCAAACCACCAGGGGAACAATTACACAAACAACCACGCTCACTGCGTCGACTGGACCCGGGGTCTCAATGCCATCAACGCTCGTCTGTGGCTGCTTATAGGTGGCTATCTGATAATTCTGACTGATTGAATCCAAAAACATGGAAAACAAGCTAGCAGAGAAAAGGTCAACTGATCTTTAAGAGTTGCTGGAAACATCACAGGCAAAAAAAAAATGCAAACAGACAAGTTGTTATCTAGAGCCGGGCAAGATCCTTGGAACGCATTTTTTGAATTTTCCCACGTATTTTTCTGTTGGAAAGTTTGTGATACTTCAACGTCTACTTTTTAATCTTTTTCTTGAATTCCCATTTGGAAAGAAGTTATCTCCGAAATTAATCAAATGCTTCGTATCTCTCGTTTACTCTCTTATCATCTCTCTCTTGTTTGTTCGCAACTAGACAACCTAACAACTGTGCTCTGCTTATCATAGCAATCTCAAAAACGTGAGCTAGATTTTTTTGAAAACTACCGGAAGGCATGGTCACTGGTCAAGATATCAGAAAAAATATCAAATGTAGAATTTTGCAAAAAAGAGGCCAAGCTAGCGTAAGCTAAGACGAGAAGAAATAGTTTATAAGAAATGAACACTGGGTAAAAATTTATTGCTTTTGAAGATTTGATAACTGTGCAAATAGCATACATAAAGCATAAGTATGGTGCCAAAAAAAATTCGAGAAATCCTAACTTCTGTTTATTTCAACAAACAGATTTAAGACAGGAAATCGGCGTCGGCAATGCTTTGAGCAAAACTCAATTTCTAGAAATCAATCAGTGTTTCTCTTTCAAATTCGACCACGAAAAATCTAAAAATTTCGATAAAATTTGATTGGTTTTACAACTAAGTTCCGATTCAGAATTGTGCTAATTGAATTTTCCACGATCAATGAAATTTGATTTTCAACTAGTGCTTTGATTTTGTTCTACTTAAAATCAATATGTGTAAGATTAGAGACTTACTATATGTGTCAATAAATATAACACAATTGAAAGCATTTTTCAAACATTTTGGGCAAATTTTCTATTATTTTTCATGTAGAATGAGCTTTGCACAGCAAAAGATCTTTTTCAAAAAAATGTTTTAATTTTCATAAACAAAAGTTTTTTGCTAGACTTCTGTGCCAAAAATTTTTTGATAGACTATGCTAAAAAAGGACTGTATGTGCCATTGAAAACAAATGTTAAAACACCAAAGCGCTCTTTGCCCTATTTGGCATCTGTCTAGGTTGAGCGTAATGCCACACTTGCGTCAGACAATTAAACAAACTACTGTTGCTCTGAAATCGGCTACACAAAAAATAAAAATTGAAATCAGTCACCTTGTGAATTGGCACATGGCCAAGACGCTTCATTACTACCTCATTGACGACATAGAAAGCATCGTCGGAGATCTGTCTCAGAGAAGCGTTCGCGGCAGTATCCTGGAAAATTTTGATAGAATACAGATAGTCTCAAGATTTCTAACGAGTACAGCTGGTTTTTTTTACAAATTTTTAATATCGTCCTTATATGCCTACCTCATATCCTAGCTGATTACTTGGGTTGGTTTCGAAGGAATAAGGAAAGAGGAGAAAGATGGGGAAGGAGGAGAGAGAGGAGGAGAAGTTTTGTAAATCACAAAACCAGGCCTTAACAGCTCAAAACTAGTAATTCATGGCATATGACGCAACTTCCAAACAGTTCTCGGCACAGCTGCCACAGGGTCAAGCTGGATATCGTTTTTGGGACAAAAAGCAGAGAGGATATCGTTTTTGTGGCCTAAAATACATAGAATTTGACACTTCTCTTTTGATCGACGTTTCGTTTTTTGGGGTTTTTTAACTTCAAACTTTAGGGCCAAAGGGGACTTCGTACCGGTTTCATTATCAGAGGGAACTTTGTTTTGAAAATTCCTCGGTGCCAGCTCGTGCCGATTCCTGCTTCCAAACCGTGGGTTATTTCTCGTACACGATAGATTTTTTCTGCACATAATTCTCATACACAGACGTATTTTCAACGTACATGGTGATTGAATTATGCCGTAAACACAAAAACCAGTTCTTTTTGTATAAGCGTAAACATGTAAGTACACAATTTTGAAAGAGATTTTTTTTGCAATGAATTTTGGGAGTAACATTACTCATACTACATAGCAGAAACTGCCAACCTTCCTCTCATATTACTGAGAAGATGACCAATCCTGACGAGATGGACGTTGGTTTGTGGTAGCGAGGTGTTTTTCGCAATAAGAGAACAGGACAAGGGGAAAGATTATGATATCCAGAAAGACGGAAAATAAACATTGATCGTTTGAGGGAATTTGATGAAAAATCCTGCAGATATTTTCAAGAGCAACTGCTTGGTCCTCTCAAAAATGAAAGATTTTGTTCCGCAAATGAAAAGTAAAATCAGTATTGCTATGATAAAGTTGCCTCTTTCCATTTTGACCTCAAAAGCATTTCTTGATGACTAGACCTACAAATACAATTTTTGGAAAAAAATCCGGGAAGCAAGTCATTTTTTGTAGAAAGAGAGAAAAAGGAAGAAAAAGTGTGCGTAAGTTGGCCCATTACACCGTTAATCATTATAAAATATTAAATAGGTAACTTTACAAGCACTGCGAGAATTCTCTCTGCAGAGACTTTTTTCTGAGCATAATTGCATTCTGGCTCTTTAACTTCAAGGCTTGAAATTTCCTTACTGGAGAGCTATTACGTCGAGATTCAATAAGCACTGGAAAGAGCGGAAAAAATGCTTGTAGATAATACTCATGGTACTACGACAGGGGCAAAATTCTATGAAAATAGCTGCGTTAACAAAGGCAACTGGAAATCGGACAGAACTTTTGAAACAGCCTGGTATGAAGCCGTCTTGAAGATGCTTGCTTTTCTGTAGAATGGTAATCCAAGCATTAAATAAAATAAAGACTTGATGGTTTGGTAAACTCAAAAATGGATTTTCAAGCACTCAACAGAATCTCAAATTTTTCTAACAGTAAGAATTAAAAGGAGTCTGCTTCTGACTAGTGCACGGTTGCCACCATAGGTATTTAAGAAAAAATTCATTCTATCATTTGTTAGTATTTATATTATTGGTAACTAAAATTTACTAATATTTCTGGTAAGTTCCTTTCATTTCTACCAAGCGGTTCTTCGTTGAAATCAGTTGGTTTGCCAGACACCTATGAAGAAGAGTTAGCGTTAGGGAATGAACACGAATAGGTTGACTAGCTCTTTATGAAACAAAGGTTTGTAAGAGCTAGGTGTTCTTCGCAACAAGATATATTTTTTAATTAGTTTTTACCTTCCAGAAATCTTGAATTTTTTACATTGGGACACGATTTGCGACATTCAATGCTCACACTCAAAAAAAAACCCGACCCAAGACGGTTTTCTTCCCAGTTGCAACCTCTCCATGCTCTTGGTCTTCAGTCTTTCTATTGGCTCGCGAACCCAGCGTTCACTTCCCCATAAGCAGCGACTAAAGGCCGATGGCTACTTCGCATCCCCCTTATCGAGTCGAAAATTCACATTTCCACCCAAATCACAACTTTTGCACTGAACGCTCCTCATTTATTCATTTACGAACCCCTGCACGTGCTCTCGCTCCCCACTGTGAGCCATGCGGACTAGTTTTTATCGACTAGTGGCTGTTTACTTCCTTGCGGCAACGTTCCATAGTAGAAATATCGACGCGCGAGCAGCAAAATTGTGAAAGGGGCGTGTCGACATCGTCACTCACTATCTGCACTTTTTCAAATAACAAGCTTGGTGTCAATACTGCATTCACCAGCAAGATTGAAAATGTTTTCAATGGTAGCGAAGGCTATGAGATTTGTCCCTGAATCGTGGACATATCGATACCCGGAAGAATTTGGGATTGCTGGAAGAATTTTGAGCTGGGCTTCAGGGGGCATCGGGACGCAAATCTTGCTCTAGACACGTACGAGTGGCATAGGATAAAGAGCGCCTGTTCCAGCGAAATGTCAGAGCAAAGATCGCCTCGCGGGGATTTCAACGAGACAAATTTTGCATAATTTTGCATTTTAGGCAACTTCCAGAGGGTAGCAAATTCCAGAAATAATTATCAGGCTTCCAGAGTAACTCTCGTATGTCTTTTTAAGTTTGATGCTATGATGCTTTCCTAATAAAGCTACAAAGACACTATCGTAGTGATCAATTTGAAAAATTGTTTAATCCTTTGTCTACGAAGACCACACACACAAGTCAAACATTTTCTCTTAAATCATAAAGACTCCGACCGTTACTACCAAATAAGAAAGAAATTGTTTTTTGTTATCGATTTGCAAAGCTACGAAAACCGAGATTTCCATCACAGTTGGGTTGGATGGAGTTGGCTAATCTCTCATCAAAACTATGATATGACTGACAAGGAGCCAATTACTTTGGTAGATAGAATTTCGAAGAACAGAGAGAATCTACAACAAAATGAGATTGCTCAAAGAATATTTTATGCATTTGGCTGTGTTTGGGAAAGGAGTAGTAGGATGCCATAATGTTGTGCAAAAGATGTGCATTTTGATACCATACTTTGTAAATGTCGTCCTCTGTCCCATTTTTTACAAATTGATAGAAGGTAGACAACAAAGAAATAGTGGCTGGCTCTAATTGAGCGTGATGGCTTGTCTTCTTGAACATGGCTTGTCTTTTCACAGTCCAAGCCCAATATAATGATTCCTGAAATTTCACTCATCTCCAATAATATTCTATGTCCATTTCCCCTAGCCACGACCCCCATCGCTGCGATAAATAATCTCTCATCACCATAAAATCAACGACCAACAACTGCTCTGTCTCCATAGCATCGCTCTGCAGATCGCTCCGACCACAACTGCCCCTAACTTTGGAACAGACAGCGATACCGAATAACCTGCTAGGTCAACGATCGGTTGCGCTTTCATCGCCACCAGTCGCTCTTGTGAGGTGGGGCGATCAGGCCTGACTAGGAAGACGGAGCGATGCGCTGTAAACAACTGACTATTCTGCCATAGTGGCAACAATTTGAGAGAAAATGATGTCTGCGGGCAGAAAAACAGCTAAAGAAGCTCCAAAAGAGATTTGGACTCCCGGATATAAGTCACAAAAACACAGGCAACTGACCAAAACTTCCGCGAACGTTTGGGAAGTTCCGTCGGGCGGGTCACCTACGGAAGTTCCGAAAAATGCGAACCACAACAGCAAAAGATAACATCTTAGCGAGATTCGAACGGTGCTCTTGTGACTACGAGACTCACTCACTATTCTCTGCGCTACGGATGCCATGTTCAACAATGCACTCTATTTGTTGGCGAGACAAGATCGTAAAAGAAGCACAAGGTCTGCGGAAGTACCGGCAAGTCGAAGTGCTGCGGAACCGCTGGCATTGTTCGGAAATTCCACAGCATTCTGTGAGAAGCCTGCGGAAGTTCCCGTTTTCAACTAGTCCAAAATCCTGCGCAAGTACTCTTTTTTGACGTTGCCACTTTTGTAGCAGTAAACAAGATCCGCTGCAAATTTTGCTTGTCCTGCGGAAGTCCCGGTGAATTGTCTGAAAAGGCGAAGCAGCTGAAGTTTTCAGCTCTTGCTCCCTTATCACCAACTTTACGAAGCAATTTCAGCAATCTTGAGCTAACAAAACTTGCTGGAAATGGCCAATCAAGCGAAGTTGTGTTATCGCTCACCCATTGACCAATTTGCTAACAACGTGATAATCAGCTCAAAATTATGGAAAATACATATCATTGCGCTATTCCAGGTGGAAGACGTCCTACAGATCCCAGTGGTTCTGACAATTATCGAGTAAGGTATGAAGTAATGGTATGTACTCCATGAATAAATAAAAAAGCGAGCAACACTCTTACACATAGTGAAACCTGATCCTTTTTGTGGAAACTGATAGGGTAAAAAGCTTTTGCAGCAAAAGAAAATGAATTTGAGCTATGCTTTGAGAGGAAATCACAGAATGCCGAACAATGCGACAGGCTTATAAATTTTTGGAATCTTCAAAAGGGGACTTTATCACAGAACTGTGATAAGCTTCATTTTGAACGCAGATGCTATGCACTGAAATTATTTACTATGCTAACAGTGCAAACACAGCGAAAAATTCACTTTTTGGAGAGGGGGGGGGAGAGGGGTGCAATCTTTATATAGATGATTTTCTAAGAAATTTCGCAAGTAAGATTACACTGTTAGGACCTGATAATTGATAGGATTTGCTTGAATGAGGGTTTGGTTCACTCCTAAGTGCGTCAAAACAGCAAAACTGGCAAAAAAACCAAAAGTCATAGTCTATGATTGTTTTTCACTTGCTCCACCTCAGTAAATCTCTTTAAAAAATAAGCTCGTTAAATTATCTTACCCTGATGATAACAAGCAACAGGATTTACGAAAGGACTGAAGCTATTTGCCATGATATTTTATTTTTGCGCCTCATCCCGAGAAAACCAGAACTACCAAGAGGAATTAAGCGAATTACCCAGAAATTCTCTTAACTTCTTCTTCTCTTAACTTTTATTCTTTTTCAAAAGCATCGAAATTGGGAAAATATCTGTTTAACATACAAATCGAATTTCGAAACTCTCTTTCATCCCGAGAAAACGCAGAACTATGCAGAATGAGCAAATAATTTGCCTGAGACATTCTAAGAGCTATCAAGGCCTAAATATACTAACTTACCCTGAAAGGCGTAAGCGTGCTCGGATCGACGGACATCTCGGTGACGAACGTGGACGAACAGTGCCATCGTTGTTGTTGCCGTCGACGGCCACGCCCCATGGCAGTCGATCAACACTGGCGCTGAACAGTGATCTACCTCTCCTATGCAAGGCGTTTTTTAGAATTTATGGAAGGAGTGGGTCAGAAAACTTCTCAGGAACTTCCTGAAGTTTTTCTTGGAAAAGCATGCGCTTGATCTTGGAAATCTGTCAGTTTCTTGAAATATCGCTGCTAAGGTGGATGAAACAGTGATCTACCAGCGCCGAATAATCATCGATACGCTATCGATTCCTTGCAAGCTATACATTTCTAGAGTTTTTCTTCACTTCTTTCTCATTTCCCTTGGGTGATTTCGATTTCCAAAAAGTTCACTTCAATAGCCTTCAAAGCTCCTAGTGCTCCGAATTTATTTAAAATCTTTTTTTTCTGTGCAATCTCATACTAAAATCCCCAAATTCAGCGACAGTGTTTGTTTTGCCGAAAATTTGAACTGCCATAATTCCCACGATACTTATACAAAGTCCTCTTGCGCATAATCCAAGCATTAAAACATGTAATATGAATCAAACAAAAATATTCTTACGAAAACAAAAAGATGAGCGCTCGTAAAAGCAGGAAGCCCCTATGTGTGATTCATATTGGATTTTTGCACTGCTAAATTCAAAAAATCTTTCGAATTTCCACAGTTCGCTTCGATTCTGGTTACAAGAAGAAACAAAACGTTGGCATTAGCTTCTTTGACGAGAACTTTGGAAAAAATTTCTTCTAGGAGTGAAGCTCTTATTCACGAAAATGTTACACTCATGACCTGAATTAGGCATTTCGAAGTCGCAATTTACGGCAACAGCGACTCCTACAAGATTACAAATTTTCTGCTCAGCTGTTGATTTCAGATGAGGTTTTCAGGAGCAAAACCATCAAAGTATTTCTCCCAGCAGAATGGAACTGTCGCTTGTAAAAATAATGGATTCGTTCCAAAGATTCTTTCCTCCTGTGAGCAGTAAGCAAATCTCAAAAAATAAAGTAGAGCTTAGATATAATTCAATTCAGTTTTTCCCTCTGTTATAGCAAAATTTTTTCTGGTCTGTGCAATAGTCGCTATAGCTCCTCGTGGATTGTTTGCCTCACTTGCATCAAATTTTTTGAAATTTTATCTTATGAATTTTGGAAAATCGCAACCAGCAGACAATCAAAACTCTACTATACTGTCATCAAATCTGGTCAGCTTCTTGATGTGTCCCTTACAAAGGAGCACCGTGGAATCCGCAAGGATTTTGCCTGAAAAAAATGGCTTGGCTTTATCCAAAAAAATCTTAGGGATCTCAATTTGCTCAAGCGCGATCTTTCTTCATCAGATGTTCTTAAGCACAGTTTCGTAATTTTCCATGGCTAAAAATCGAGAAAACGAAATTTGGCATGCTTTTGCCAAAACGATCCTGGGCTTTCCCTCAGGTGAATAATCTTTTCTAAACAGCTTTGAAAGTATAACCATGAATTGTCAGCTCTACAACAAGGGTTAGCTCTTTCAAAAATGTTGAATTTATCGCTAAAAACCCGAAGAAGCTACGTATCTGCACTTTTGTCTTATTTTTGTTCCCCGTATTTCAACTATGTAAATATTGCACAAACTGTCATGTGGGTGTCTAATGTGGGCAGTGCCTGCGCAATTTGGGGATCCCCAAGAATTTCATGAGCAAATAGCGATTTTTTGGACATCTGAAATCTTCTACAGGGTGTCCCAAAAAATGTGCCTACTTGATTGTTAATAACTCTCTAGTGATAAAGTCTTTCGAAAAGCTTTATATACCGTTTTGTAGATCTGGCTTCAATTTAGATTTACAGTATAGAGCGAATCGCCGGTCGCTCTTCATTACTGTAGGATTACGGTAGAAATTTCAAACATATGGTTTCCCTGTGTAAAAAGCTGTCCTTTCAAAATTTTCGAAAAAAAAGTGAAAACTTGTGTTATAGGGTTTTCGTGGGCGCTAAATTCAATACTCAACTATATACAAGATTGCGAAGCTTTCTAAACGTTGTAACCGCATTTTTTTGGAAACATTGAAAAAACAGCCGCTACTGCTTACCTCGCATAACTTTTTGATGAAGCATTATGATAAGTTAAGAACTTCACATTTAAAACCAGCATCTTTGATTAGCCTAGTGTGAAAATTTTCAGGTTGTTTTGTCTCCTTTCTTGAGGCAAAATAAGGTCTTTCATGGCTCAAAACCCTCTTCATAGTTCCTACCGTAATCCTACAGTAATGGAAAAATACTCGATAATCCGCTTCTCACCTTTAATCTAAGTTGAAGCCAGCCCTACAATATGGTACCTAAACCTTTTCGAGAGACTTCATTACATTAGAGTTAATAATGATCAAAAAGTAGGCACATTTTTTTGGGACACCCTGCATATTTTGGCTCTAAACTTCAGATGAAATAAAGTTTCTACGGATCGTCATTTTTAAAGGTTGTCAAGTGGTACCTATCCATTTTCTTCGTGTTTAACTCGTCGTGGTAAGATGTAACGCGATGTTAATTCCAAAACCTAATAAAAAAGAATTGACACTTGCTAAGCATTCCTAGGTGAACAACCTTATTATATGGCTCTTTTTCAAAAATATTGTTTATGTATCATTTTATGTATCGTATGTTGGAGGAAGTGGGCAACCTTAGCTCGAATCTGAACGTTGGGGTTACTTATGTTCATGCTTGATCACGCTATGTATTTCTTGTAAGTAGAGTTTCCCACAACATGCCGCACATAGACCTTATCGGTTGCCTTTACCGGCTCTTATCGCTTTTTCATGCTTAAAACCTCTTGTCAGGGCAGAAGTTCAAATAGGAACATGACCACTAAAAATGTGCCCTTTCGTCTGCCGATAGCATCACTTCGGTGGTGTGGCGGGGAAACTTGAAGGAATGTCTTATTTTAATACATCACTGCCGAGTATGAGCAATTTGGAAACTTTGACTTATTTGAGCGGTCCTATGAGATTACGCAAAGCATAGCTTCTAACGATAAGAGGAGTAAGAACTGCATATTGCTCAAAACGTTCGTGTATTGTCACATTTCAACAGAATTGCGGACAGATTCAAAAAAAGGCACAAATTTTGGTGGCGACCAGAATCAAGCGCGTTGATGCGATCCACGACCCCTCTTACGCCCCCCCCCCCTCTCTTCATCCTTCTCCCTATCCCCCATCTCCAAGCTTTTGTGTAGCCTGTATCAACTAAAAGCACCCTAAAAAATGCCAATAGGCCCTATCCAAAATCATATATCAGAGGAAGAAAAATCTAGTTTTGAATTGGGTAATAAGCAAGTAACGCTTAGTGCTTAATAATAATAAGAAGTAAAGTTTTTAATGTAATGTGTAAATAACCAAAAACTCCGTTTCGTTCCTGCCCTTTGTCGGAGTAAAAGTATTTACAGACCTTCCCCGGAACTACTAAATTAAAAAATAACCTGCTTACATCACGTAAGAAGGGAAATCCTACAAATATTTAGATGTACTGTAGTGTTGTTGCAAGAAGAGGGATGTTCTTGACAAAGCAGGACATCGATTTCAGCTTGAATTTAATTGCCACTGTCTAGAGTGAATATAAACAAGAATAAAGTAAAATGAAATAACTAGGAAAAATTCGGGAAGACAGCAATTACTTCAATCGTTGTAAATGATTATTTTAATCACTTATAAAACTTATTTTATAATAACGGATAAGAAATTCTTCAGCGATTCATGTGTATGGCATAACTTATTCATATTGAGTGTGAATGTGGTCATTTTGGTCCTGGATATAAGAACGCTTTAGACTATGATAGTTTTGGGTTCGATCCCCATCTGCGACACTTTTTTTGCAAGAAAAAGAAATGCTATTTTGAGAGGTAAATGGTAAACGCATTTTCTATTGCCTGCATAGATTTTCTCTCAAGCAAAACCATTTTAGCACCTTTCGGAACATTGTCATAAACGTACATGAGCACGGTAATTCGAAAATGTATTAGGCTGTCCGGAAATTAATGCAGGTTTTGAAGTCCAACCGCGATAAGTCATACATTTCTCATTTCTAAGCAGGTTGCAAGATATCATTCGATAGAGCAAAGCAAGCTCTACAAGATGGCAACCTTGCTTTAGCAACATCTCTGATCCACCATAAATTTCGAGCCAAAAACTAAAAAGATTCAACAGCCCGAAAAATTAAGAAAAATCGTAACTCAGTTTATAAAATACCTACAAAAATTCTAACTTGCTCACATAAACACAATACACATAAGGCATCTATATACGCCATTGCTGTATTTTTTCCCTGTTGAGAATCAAGAAAACGGAAATTTTCGTGCATTTGCCAAAGTGGTGTTGTGCCGTTCTCACATGAGTAGTTGTATGTATACTACAAACCTGTAAAGTACAAACGTAAATTTCCAGCTCTCTACAAGCTTTAGTTCTCGAGGATTTTTCTTAATTTTTCGGGCAGTTGAATTCTTTTAGTTTTTGGCTCGAATTCGTGGTGGATCAGAGATGTTGCTAAAGCAAGGTTGCCATCTTTAGAGCTTGCTTTGCTCTATCGAATGATGTTTTGCAACCTGCTTAAAAATGAGAAGTGTATGACTTATCGCGGTTGGAATTCAAAATCTGCATTAATTTCCGGACAACCTAATAACTAAAGGGAAGGGAAGAGAGGGTGCAAATCAGTGCCCGGACAATTGAAGAAACAAGCTGCAGTCGATCAGGAGCAGTGAGCTCGAAAAAATGATGTGATTCTAGCAAATTTAGATGCGATCCTAAAAATCACAAACAGAGATTTCGCCTGAAATTTTGTAACTCGCTGAAGACACCACGAAACAGCCTTAGTTAGTATGGAAAGTAGGAGGATTGCGCCGTACATTAGCAGAATTTGAGCTAGCAAACTTCCAAAATTCCGAAGAAATTTAGGTGCGACTCAACGACTCCCTTTTCAGTTCGTAGCCATATATAAAATCATAGGAAGATCTACAGACTATACAACAGAACTAAATTCCGCATAGTAGGGCGAACTAAATTGCATGGGCCACATGAAAATAT